AGAGAGAACTTGTCTCTAATATGATACTGAGAAAAATGTATGTTCTGTAGACCTGGGGTGGTGAATTCTATAAATATTCACTAAGTTTGCTTATTCCAGGTCTAAATTCAGAAGGTGGATAATAAGGAACTTTTGTGAGCTAAAAGAACATGTAAAGAAACTAAGAATCTGGAAAAAAGGTTTGACGAAATGCTAACGAGAATAGACAATTTAGAGAGGAATATAAGTGAATTAATGGAACTGAAGAACACAATAGGAGAACTTAGCTCACAAAAGTTCCTTATTATCCACCTTCTGAAGCCTAATTCTGTTAATGGAACACACTGGTTCTCCATCAGGCCTTGTTCCCTTGTTGATGAGGAACTGTGATCCTCTGTAGAGGGAGAGGCATTCTGATTTTGGGTATTCTCGGCCTTTTTACGCTGGTTTCTTCCCATCATTGTGAGTTCATCCACCTGTCCTCTTTGTAATTGCCAACTTTCAAATTAAGTCTCTGAGTGGACGTCCAACTTGTTGATTCTCAGCGCCGAAATCTGAGCAACCCACTGCACCAGCTAAAACAGCACGTTAAGATTCGTGGTTATTTGCCTGTTTTCTGCCCGGGAATCTCCGGTCTGGCTTCCCGCTTGAATCCCTTTTTCAATCAGGTGAATGGGCGACTCTGCCTTCCCGGAGCTCCAAACGTCGACCAAAAAGGGACCCAGTCCCGTTTACCCTGCACCGAGAACCGTCGCGGCGGGGCGCGGGCAAAACCGCTGCGCTGGCCACAAGAGTCGCGCTGGCGAACTGTGGGGCTCCTCCGCTGGGAATCTCCTGGTCTGTAGGCAACAAAAATTCTTCTGAAAGCGTGGCATCCTCTCGTTCTGTGCCCTTTCTCTGGGAGCTACAATCCTGAGCTGCTAGTAGTCGGCCATCTTGGATCTCTCTCTACCTAGTTTTTCTACCAGCCCATTCAATAACTAAAATATAAGAATAATTGTTGGACAGGGTTCGGTGGCTCACGCCTATAATCCCAGCACTTTGGGAGGCCAAGGCAGGTGGATTGCAAGGTCATGAGTTCAAGACCAGCTTGGCCAAGATGGTGAAACCTTGTCTCTAAAAAAAAAAAAAAAA